CCCACTGTTTCAGCCAGCTTCATCCCTCTCCTCCACCTCCTCTTCCTCTTCCCTTCCACTCTTTTACACAGCTTTATCCCTCACCTCCTCCTCCTCTTCCTCCTCTATCCAAGTCTTTCAGCCAGCTTCCTCCCTCTCCTCTTCCTCCACCTCCTCCTCAGTTCTCCCCCCTCTTCCTCCCTCGATGAACCCTGCTCCTAAACTGGTTCCCATCTTCAAGAACAAGCACCCATCTCGTCACATCAATGTTGCTCTGCTGTGGGCCCAGAAGCAGACGGAGCAGCTGGGCGGAGGAGGGGAGGAGAGGAGGAGGCTGACGCTGCCTAACTTCAGGAGGGACACACCCGCCTCTGCTCCACCTTCCTCTTTTCCATCCCTTCCAGTTCCTCCTCCACCAATCATTCCTCGCTTCAGCTATCCTCCCAAACCTACCTGCAGCCCCGCTCCTCAGTCGACAGCTCCGCCCAGAATCAAGCACTTGTCCAGCCTCAGTCCTGGACCGATGTCCAGACCGGGGCTCGTCCTCGCTCCAAACACAGAGACGAAGCACAAATCCAAGTCCGGCTCCAAAACCCACCTGAAGTCCGGCTCTGAAAACGATACTGCTGCTAACAACAGCCGTGAACTGAAGCGAGAAGCAACCAAACAACCATCTGCTGCAGCAGCAGAGGCTCCTCCCCCTCTCACCACCTCTGACATCTCCGAGAAGGACAAAGACAAGAACAGCAGAGCGGTGAGTCACCGCGGCTTAGTGACGATACATTCACACAAAGATCCTCATGGAAACTGTAGCCGTTAGCTGCAGAACGACGTGGACTCTGTGAGCAGAGCTGCTTCCTGATCCTGTCCTTTCTGTTTCAGAGAGTTCGGTTTGAATCAAAGCCAAAGAAATCCAGAGCCGCGGTTCGAGAGGTGGACGTGGAGAAAATGGCCCGAAGCAACCAGGTCAGGACACATGACGAACTTCTGTCCTTCATCATCTTCACTTCTCTTTCCTGAACATCAGTGTGATACGAACGACCTCAAATGACACAAAGCATCTTAACTTTGATTTCTTTAGTCCCATGTGCTAACACGGAGGAGAATGATTTATAACTTATACAGCTGCCGGTCACCAGAGTCACATCTGTAGCTGTGTCTCAATTCCCAGAATTCACTGCCCTTCGGTGTAAAGTAGTCATGGAGAAGACGTGTGATGCTGTAACATCACGCGTGTGAACAAATACCACGGGGCATTAAATCCGTCTCGTCATGTCCCCCCTCAGCTCTGTGGCCGGGAGACAAACGCCGATCAATGAAATCCTCTGTAGACCAGAGTCTTGTTTCAGTTCAGCCTTCGCAGCTTATGAAGGAGGCGGCCTCTGCAGGAGGCGGCCTCTGCTGTGGGTTGGGACGCGGCTAACACCAGCATCAGTGGAAGTTAACGAACTCCTGGGCGACACAGTAAACGGTGAGCGGGCTCGCATCGCTCTGCGTTCACTTCGACCCACAGGTTCTGTCGTGAAATCACCCTCCAGCTTTGAAAAACTGAAGTGTGGTCCTCTGTTTCAGAAAAGTGGAGACTTGACGTGTGATTTATTTCCAGCTCGTCCAGCCTCAGCGTCCTCTTAAACCTCCTTGAGGCGGACAACAGACATTAACGTGACGTATTAAAGTGTGTTGCTGTGATGAATCGCGGCACACAGAGTTCTGTCAGCCTCAGTTTCCAACAAACATCCTTTTCAGAGGGCTGTTAAAGTGATGAATGGTCGGGAGGAGCCGCGAGCCCACAGGCAGCCGAGCAGATTACTAACAACATCCATCAGTTCTACAGCCTCAACCTGAAAGTTTTCACCAAACAATACATCAGTTACATTTTCTGCTTTACTGCTGTTTGCACAGCTTCATCCCTGCTCACGTCCACGACCACGTTAGATAACCACACAACTCCCCTTCACTGCTTCTCTCGTATCAATGGACGCACTTTAGAAACTGTGTGAGCTGCAGATCAGACGAGCTGAGAGGAGGAAGTCAAACTATGATCCTTTCACAGCTGATCAGTATCAAACATGAACACTTTTATTTCACAGAATTAACAACAAACAGTAGATTTATGTTCCGTGTTCTCAAGAGTGAAGTTTGGTCCAAATAACAGGATCCGTCTGGATCGTGAGAACCGACGTCATCTGCACAAGATGACAGAATTCTTATCTGAGAAATTTGAGCTTAATTTGTGGAGGAGGCGGAGACACGTCTTTATTTAATGTCTCT